CAATCCATACAGTTAACACCCAGAAAAGTTCGGCATATTGCTCATGCGTAGCGACACAATAGTGTATAGATTCCAATGAAGATGATGTCGCACCAAATTTCTGTAATAAGCATTTAGAATTTATATATTAGTCAGGTGCCCTAATGTCCAGCCTGGCTTTCAGAACACTGAAACCCTCCTCGAGATTGTAACGGGGATGTAATTGGAAATGTTAAAGTACTCAAGACTACCTCAGAAGCTCTGACATTTGTAGCAGATAATAGCTCAAATGGAAGGGTAAAACCTGATTATTCACTTTTGAAATATATACAGGAACCTTCCAAATCGATCATATGATCCATCATCTATCAGCCTGGACTCTTCATCTTCTTGTAAATATAGGGATTGAAAGAGATGAACCATCTTCATCAGATCCTTTCTCCATCACAAAAATCACTGGCACTCACACAAAAATGACTGATTTCCGTTGGAATCTGCAACAAGTACTTGAGAAAAAGGTTACCTCGCCCACCAAATACACACACAACGTACAAGTTCCAAGGCTATTTATAGGAAATGCAAGTCATTAAGTGACTACTCAGGGAAGTCAGAGAGTCCCTAATTCCTACCGCAAAGCAGCCGAAGACATTCTACCCCCTGAGCATCTATTGGCACGGCCACAGCTGTTAATTCTTGGATGACTCCTAACAATGCGAAAAAAAAGACACCATGTGTCACCCTGCAGGAGACGACAGTGCCCGACTCTAAAACCTCAAATAGGAAAAACCTGCACTAGTACTTCTCAGAAAGCCTCGTTTCCTTTCAAATGCTCCTACCTGCAAGAGTCCAGAAAACAGAAGCTGAAACAGAAAAAAACAGAAAAAACCCAGAAACTGAAGTGAAGTGAAACTATGCAGAGTGTCCAAAATTCAGTGTTCCCACAGGAAGCACTGAGAAAACTCACAGAAGTGAGGCCACAACCTACAGCTGCCTTCTCAGCTGACATTCCTGAAACAACACCGGTTGTGGGTGAAGAGAACCACAACTGAAAGCTTCCAGGAAGATGTCCTCTCCAAGGAAAAATGAAAATAAGAGGCATATTTCACCGAGGTGAACTCTGAAAGTGAACTATATGTAATGATGTTTGTAAAATAGCACTTCTAAACACTCCTGAAGACCATAAAAAACTAAAAAAAAAAATTCCTTCTGGAAAAATGGAAGGAAAGAAAGGATATTCAAGGTGAAAGAAAGGAGATTCAAGGTACAAGAAAGGAACTTTGTACCATATGCAACAGCAAATATATTCTCCTATTTGACTGCGATTTCAAATTTTTAAATCAAATGTATGTTCTTCCCCAGTTAAAAAGGAAAATTTGGATGCTGACAAGTTTAACACCAGCCTCCTATACCGGAAAATATTTGGGGTATTTCCTAATGTTTTCTAAAAACAGAAAAATACCCATCAAAATCACACTAAATATTCTAAACATCGAATCACCAAGACTTTACAGCTCACAATGTTGCCCACTCGCAGTTTTTCTTCAGCAAAATCTCATCAGGAAGAAGCAAGCTGTGCTGCAGCCAGGCGCTACGGGCTCTGTAACCACTAACCTGCACGCCACACACTGATTGCCCCCCCGGCCTTACGCACACAAGTTTTGGGGTTTTAGGTGCACCCCATGGCATGTGTAGAAGGCTTGCCTTCCTCTTCCTCAAGCAGGAGATATGACTCTATTCCTTTTTACCAGGCATAACACTATTACTGCTTGGTTGTCAAGGAAGTGATGTAAGAGTTTCACACCGAGAAGTTGGAACCAAAGGAAGCTGTTCATGGGCCAGTAAAGTTTTGCTGCTTCTCAGCACGAGGCTTCCAACGACCTTCCCTGTACCACGAATCCAATTTATGGAGACAGAAATCTCACATCTGTACCTCGACATATTGGGAGGTACATTACAGTGATATAAAAGTTTAATTTTCTCTCCTAAACCATACCTGTTTCAACCAATAAAGAACTAATGCTGCTTTTACTCACTCGAGTGTCGTCCGTAGTTATAACCCGTTGTACTGTTTATGCAGAATTCATTTGGAATGCAAGGATGTGACTTACAAATGCCTTTGACTCATTCCCATAAATATGCACGCGTGCCATTTATAACAGTAGCCTTGATGAGAACACACAGTGTAACTGGCCGCGAGAAACGCTTAAGAGGTTTACATTAAAACAGAATATAGAGCGGCGGTTAGAAATCATACAACAGGTGACACCTTCCTCTGATAACCCGGTGATAAAAGCTGTAGGGTGTGATGTATAGGTTGTGGCGGCACCGCTTTACTCTACGGTCTGAACAGCTTTCCTCAGCTCCCGCTCAGCTTGAGCAAGACAGAATGCACGAGGCAGACCACACACAAAAAATTGTGATTAATCTCAAAAACCCCCTAATTCGTGATTGCCTCCTGAACTGTTCCCTCAAAACCAAAGATATTTAAACTTCATGTTTGTAATACACATCTTTTAAAAGCGTGATTACTTCTTGGTTTAGCAGAGCAATTTGTTTCAGCTATTAAAATACTGCCCTTATTGTACTTAGAATTTAGCAAAAAAAGAACCTAAAATGCAGCAAACAAGGGGCATAAATAAAACAGCTTAAGCCATCTGAAGAATTCCTGTGACCATGGAATGATTTTCTGATAAGAATATTTATAAGATTTTTAGACACTGCGAACGCGAACTCTTGAAATATATCGCTGTTACACGTCAGGAAATTGCACGTGCTGGCAATTAAACAAAATAAAGGCAAAGGCCTTTCAAGACTGCAAAAAAAAATTATATTAAGAAGAACCTGCAGTGGGAAATTGCAACTAAAATTCTAATCTCCATTTTAATTATTAAATTTCCTTTCCCCTCAGGTATTTGAAGCCAAAGAATTGCAAAACTTGTGCTCCTATAATGAAGCATCCGATAAGATTTTGATTTATTAATCTGTTGGTCACGTACAAGCTATCTGGTCCCACATGAAGTCCTATGAAGACAGAGAGACACCCACCAAATCTACAAACACACGTTCTGTTGGACGACTGAGAACCTACCCCCAAAGCAATTCCTGTTCGCACCCTGTCTGACTGGGAGCCCCATGACACAAGTCCACAACTTGTAAAATCCCCCCACACACACACACAGCTGAAGGTAGAGACGAAAGGCTGTTTATAAAAGATGTTCCCAAACAACATTTCTACTCAACGTACTACACAACACGGAAACATCAGGCAGCCTCCATACGTACATCATACAGGACATTTCCACTTGGCCTTCATTAGTTGCCAACGAAGAGCTTCCAGAAGGCGGCTGGTGCCAACCGGCTCCTTCACAGACACCTTTCCTGAACTGTAATTATTCCAGAATGTTCCCATCAACACATAATTGCATCCACCCCACACGCTGCCAAATAGGCTCAAGCTGCTGAGGCCGTTCTTCTGAAGTATTGTTATAGGGAAGGAAAACAGAATCTATCATACGGACAAGACAGGAAGATAAGGTCCACCAGCACGCCGTAAACTAGAATTTCTTAAGAGTAGCACAGGTAAAAAGCAGAACTTGTCCGCCAGCAAAGCAGGTAAGACTCTGCCCTGATATTTAAATGAATGAATGATACCCAAATATATCGTTTACATGACAAAATGGCCTCACCATGCAATAGTGGGTTTTTTTAAATGCAGCTAATGTTTACTTCAGACCTACAGGTTACTCCATTCAAACCTCCCAGAGAGCAGATGGAAAGGCTGCCTGCCAGCAAAAGAAAAGATTAAAGAAAAAACCACCCTCAGCCTTTTAAAAGCCAGTTGAACTGTTGGAAACAATAGAAAATTAAAACCACCCACCCTCTGCACACGTATTCTCAATGGTCCCCAAAAGCAGCCTCTGCTTGAACCACGATCCCCACACACCTCGAGAGTCGCGCTAGAGACGACATTTTCATTGCCCACAAAATTCGAGCAAAAGGGTTGAAGTGGATGTTGTTTTATCCTAGAATCAATGTGTTTTTTCCCGTTTTAATCATCTTCTAGGGCTCAAGCAGCAAGGAACTTATGGCTGCTGTTCAAGATGTCAGGCTGTAGCCTCTGCTTGAACCACGATCCCCACACACCTCGAGAGTCGCGCTAGAGACGACATTTTCATTGCCCACAAAATTCGAGCAAAAGGGTTGAAGTGGATGTTGTTTTATCCTAGAATCAATGTGTTTTTTCCCGTTTTAATAATCTTCTAGGGCTCAAGCAGCAAGGAACTTATGGCTGCTGTTCAAGATGTCAGGCTGTAAACCTGCAGCGTGTGTATGGCCCATGTAACCGGGCGCCATGGCACCCTTTCTGCTCTTCAAGCCACAGGTGGAAGCTTGCGCCCTGCCCAGATCAACAAAACGATGCCAAGATAATAAGGACAGGATTTCCCATCGGCTGCTGTGTTTGTGTATGTCTGTGATGTAATAAACGTGAAAGAATTAAAGAAGTTCTTAATTTTGTAATAAACTGGACATGTGGCACAATTTTTCTTCTTCCACAAAAGGCTAGTTCATTATTCAACACCTACCTAGGGATGGTAGGTGCACGCTCAGCATTAACTACTAACCCCAAACTAAAACAAGTAACTTCAGGAAGACTAAACCATAAATTTTCTCATCAACCTACTGAAACGCACAATAATCCTTTTGGACAGACATCACTCCAAGTCTCCTCCATCAGTTTTAATGAGGGTTGGCTACGTGCGAGTCAAATCACCTCTTTATCTTTTCCTACTACTTATTACCCTAGGCTGCCACCGTGACAGTCAGCCATCGCAAGTTGCAGCCGTAATAGCAGGGAAATTGCTTCCAAGTATTAGAGTAACATAATTTCCAACAGTTTATAACACAACTGAAACCACTATGACACTGTTAGCATGACGATTCCTATAAAAAACTTTTATTACTGCGTTAGGTTCCCAAGGATTTCCTGCTGGGGAGGAACGTTTTAGACAAGCAAAGCTCACCTGCAGAAGCACTGGGGGATCTCTCCTTGCCCATACAGAGGAAACAAAAACGGGGTATTGCCATAGCGGCCAAGGCACTGGAGAAATTTTTTTGTTGCCTGAAGACCTTCAAGAGTGCCACAACCGGTCTCCGAAACCATCGCAATAGAGTGAAGAATGAAGTGCTGCAAGCTGGGCGTTAACTTCTGCGTGGTCAAGAACTGAGCAAATGTACTGTTCTCATAGTCTGAGGGAAAAGCAAATTCAGGTAAAGGGTACGGTGTGACATTTGTGCTTCCTCACAACTGAGTATTTTTGTAGTCAAACAAAAGCATCTGAATTTTTCAACAAACATCTTTGCTGAAGAATGGGATGAGGAAGCAAATCCTCCCCTTCAATGCTGTTCCTGACGTATTTTGAAATTCAAAGAAAAACAAGTCTTGCAGGAGATGCTGGATGCAAGTGTAACGTAGCACCGGCACATCACTGAAAAAACTTCCGTTAAAACCTAAATGGTTGGTTTTTTCCCCAGAAAATGACTGTATTTAAGCAACAGCATACTTTCATACTACTCAGAAATCTGCTCTTTAGCTTATGTCAATCATAGATAAATTCAGAGATAATTCAGGAACAATTCCATCAGTGCTGAGACTGGTATTATCAAGCTATATACTCTGCTCAGATTCAACCACTGGTTTATTACAAATGTATCTTACTACCCTTTGTATAGCCGTGCAGCAAGTTGTAAAATGACAGGGATTTTTGTTTTACCATTCTAAAGAATTCTCAAGTTCTTCCTCACTTCAGACTTCTTACATAACCCCAGATTTCACGGAAAAAAGTTTTTTAAAAAAAATTCTTCACTATCATGAACTTTCTCTATTAAAACTTGTGCCTTCCCACGGATGTTATGATGTCACCAAGAGCAATTTTAATTTTCTGAAGTCTTTACTTTGGATTAATCTGACTCAAAATATTCCCAGTTACTTCCCAAGCTATTTTAAAGTGTACAAACAAAATCTGTTTAAACTCTAAAGTCATTTAGGTACATGAATAAATGGATTCTTTTGAAACTGATGCGGCATCTCCTTTTTTCTACTTAGAAAATTTTCTACGTACTCCCTATATTTTCACTTTGAGCACCTCCAATTCTTTCGCCAGCAGCCAACCTAGAAATTACCTGGAATATAGAAACCACTTTGGTCTAACGAATTTTTCCCCCGCTCAAGGTTTTCTGGAATTCACTCCAGACTCTCTCTTAATCTCACCAGATCATTCTCAATACTGATCCATTCTCTCAGCGTATGTTTAAAATCCTTTTCTCTGACGTTTGTACCTAGGAGTCTTTTGTTCAAGCAATCACACCAGTATCTTAAAACTCTTCTGAAAACTAGATTCTTTCCAAAACAGTGCCTAACTGAGCCACTGCCAAGCTACAAAAGCACTGATGTGCTTCAGTCCAAAGTTAAAGTCAATAGTTTAACTCTTCCTCTCTCCTCATTATTTCTTTTTGACAGATTTTTCTTTTTTTTCTTTGCCTTAGTTTACTTTTAGGCTCCAAGAACTGAGAACATCACTTTATTCTTTGTACCTGGAGGTGCACAAACCCAAAGCACCTTCCTTGCATCATCCAAACCTCCTCTTTGACCTGATGCTCATTATTCTTTGCACATTATGGCTCAAATCTATTCAGATTTTCAAATAAGCCAACAGTTGATAAAGGCACTTTGAACTTGTCCTCCACAAATGAAAGGCATTAAATTATTTTTACTTTCAAAGTTAAAAAAATTCCATTTTCTCAATTTATGATCTTGTAGTAACTTATCGTGAAGATTTACAGATAATCCAAAAAAAAAAAAAATCAGAAAAGAAAAACCAGATACATCACACTAAATTAAAAACAATGCCTGGGAGGGGGGAGGAAACATCTAAAAATTATAAAAAGCATTTTGCAACCTTGCTGTAAAATGTAGTTCTGTTGTTGAAGAAAAAAGTAAATAATAAATGAAGTGAGATCTAGAAGAGCAAGTGCTTAAGTAGAAGAATTTAACATTGAAGTGAAAAGGTCAGAGAAAGGTCAAAGCCTACTTTGACAATGAATCCATGAAAATAAACTGCGTAAAAACACAGCAGAGCTATCAGAACCCTGCAGAACCGAGTGAACTCCTCAGAAGAGTGTACACTGTTCCCCAAAACACTACCTTGGTACTCTGCAGGGTGCTGGTCATAGTCCAAACAAAACGTCAAAAACTTCATGAGCATTCTCTTCTCCACCATGGAGAGCTGTCTGCTGTTGAAGACGTCTGCTCTAGAACAAGGTACCTGGAAGACAGGTTTAAATCCATACCCTGGATGTGAAAAGCACGACGTGACGCTAAAATCTCATTACCTAACAAATGGTTTTAATTACTATTTTCTATTACAGATATTTGCTTACGTATTTATTTCCATTATTTTCTACTATAAGAAAAACTATTAATTCCCCACAATAAAAATATTTTTAAATATCTTTTTCAGCCTCTCCCTCTTGTTATTTCCCTTCAGTTTCACTTGTGTCTTTGATAAGTCAAAAGAGTTTCTATTAATTAACTGTGTCAAAACCTCCTGTTGCCAATGAATTCTCTGGTGAGTAGCAGAGACAAACCAAGTCTATGCTATGAATCTGAAATCCCAAAATGTATGAATCTTGAAGAATGAACTGCCCAGTGTGTCATGGTCTAAATATTTGACACGAGGCACAGAATTATGTCAGTAATTTATTGGATTGCACATTTTTATTTATCATCTTTTTTAAAAAAAAATATTTACACAACACATATAAACACCCTTTCATTCCAGAAATTAAATCAAAATCAGAATCTTAAAAGACTAGCTTAGTGCTACGAAACCAGGAAACCAATTTTAAGCTTCTCAGCTTCAAAGCGAAGAGCTTAAACATACGGCAGACGTTGTTTTACGATACCTGTTCTACTTTTCCTTCTCGAAAGGCAAGAATCCGTGTTGCATTTTTAAACTCCGCATATCTGCTAACATTCGACTTAATCAGGAGGTCAATTAACAGGCCTCGGGAATAAAGCAGCTGCAGAGTGAAGAAAGAAAACAATGAGTAAAAAGAAAGTGCTTCCACCAAAAGAAAACAGCGATACCAAGAGGATTCATTTGGAAGGTGTTTTCTCTACCTATTTACAAGTACATCCTTCGAATAAAATAACATTAAACTAACCAACGCGACCATGCAAACAGAAAAGACAAAGTAGCCCACAGCAGAGAAAGGGAGAGATTACTTCAGAGGTAAATTTCAGGAAATTCGTGGACTTATTTCCGAGCCATGTTTTACGGTCTCCTCGGTTATAAACAAACACTAGAGAGCACAAATGAAATCCCTCTTATGTAAAGGTACTGATTCCTGCTTATTTGTCAGGAGTTTCTTTTTTGCCTCAAAAGTGCTCCGTCCGCCCTCCTCAATATGAACGATTTTTAAAAAATTTCCACGTTTTAAGCAAAGTAAATGTATGAAAAGAATCATTCAGCTCCTACCTTGGAAACTAAGTCAATATTAAACCTCCTGCCTTCTCTAACAATTTGGGAATACGTAATCTTCTTTGGTTCTGGGGCAGAACTTTCCGAGGACGCAGCTTCGGCTTTTCGCGATTCCAGAGTGGCCTCCTCTAAAGCCGAACTGTGCGAACTGTCGCCCTCCGAGGCTATTTCTGTACCACTCCCTTCCGCCGCACTCGCCGGCTCGGGGCCCGGAGCC